TCTCTCTCTCGTCTCTCTCTCTCTCTCTCTCTCTCTCTCTCTCTCTCTCTCTCTCTCTCTCTCTCTCTCTCTCTCTCTCTCTCTCTCTATATATATATCTCTCTCTCTTTCTTTCTTTCTGTCCTGTACGAGGGAATGTCCTTCTCGCTCTTCGCTGCTCGCCTCTATCGTCTGACCTGCCTTCTCCGTCGCTACGTCGCAGGATCTTTGTACTAACGCGATACGATAGTCGTCGGGTTCGATCCACTGTCGCTCGATAATTTACAAGTGTTCTATGCAAACTAATTTCCCGTTGCGCGCACTTTCCCCCAAATTTCGTATGCATTAACGTCATCGGGCAATGATTATCGCTTCGTTTGAAGTCGCGACACCAGTTGCACCGACAGTATTTAATTAAGTGACTGCAATTGTCGATCCTGTCCGCCGCAAAAACGACGACTTACAATGCGGATAATTAAATCATGGCGGGTGTAAAAAAAAGAAAAAAAAAATGTGTCGCGATGACAAAAAGTGAGCGGCGTGTTATTTTTCGGGTGATACTGGTGCAACCGGGCAGCAAACGAGAGAAAGCCCAGATATACGTGAGAGCGTGACAGACCGGTATTTTCCGGCGCTGTGGGAAATCGCTCACAGTTAACAGTGTTTACGAGCTTGTAGTTAATAATGTCGCGGTAACAAGCGCGGCAAGAGCGCTTTACCGTCGGTTTCCCTCCTGCTCCGTACGATTACGAATGTATGCTGTTCGGCGTTTGGTATAGATAAGCGCCGCCTGTATTTTTGGCATTGAAGCGTTAAAGCTAAATGACTAAGTCCCTCGCTGCTCCGGCGAAAGTCCGCGGCTGAATGCGACGTGACGGATTAATGAATTCAATTATACAGGCCCAAATTATAGATAGCTTTGAATATTTCTGTCTCTCATCGGCGATAATGAAAGTTTTAATTGTTAAAGTATGAAAAATGTTAAGTATTAATGAATAATCGATTTGTTTATTTGATGAAACATTCGAAAATAATATTGCTTTCCCGTTTTTGGGCCACCGCGAGTTTGGGAAGCCGAGTGATAATCCGCCAAATGCTGCTCGCAGTCACGGACGCTCGCCGGTTGAAGAAGCTTATGAAAAATAATTCGCCGTGACGCGTCGGGCTGTCTGAAACTGAATCTTTCCGCGGCGCTCGTTTCGAGGGGTTCTTAACTTAATGACTTTAATTATTCTTTGGTATCAGCTGTCGCGGACTGATCGCACGTCTGGATTTGCGACATAAATCATCTAAAAGAAATCTAAGAGAAATAATTTCACGAGAGACTAGAGAGCCGCCGAGAATAGCCAAATCAATATACCACGCGATGAGGGAAATTTCATGACGGTGTGAATTTGTGACGCGAGACCGATGTCGATATTATATACGTTCCTCGATCTTTCAATTTCGATAAATAAATAAAAAATATATAATTATCATCTTACTTTTTTGCTCTTTCAGGGCTGCGCACTTTTGGCCGGCTGTAAAACGGGAAATTGCAGGATTTATGGCACGTGTTACAGAACCCCTCGCGTCTTCTCTCACACTCTCTCTCTCTTTTTCTTCATTCTCGTTTAAGTTTATTCCATCGAAAGTTCGGCGCCTTGCGAATGAATGACGGCGGTATCACGAGCGGGATTAGAGTCGTATCGATGGGCCTGCGTATACTGGTAATTGTTTCATCCTCTCTCACTCTCGAGGAGTCGAATACGACACAGATATATTTACAGGCGACTCCGTCGCACACGCACGTACGCAAATCTTCGCACTCGCGCAAAGCCACATTCACTTCTGTCCCCTCGCTCTGGAAATATATCTTACACGAATTATCTAATTTATCCTTACGTGTGAGGTGTCGTGTCGTATCTTACAAGATGCGAGCGCGCATCGCGCCGAGCAACACAAAAGTCTGAATGACGCCTGAAAGACGTCTAGACAATGTTACGACGTCATTGAAATGTTTGTGTTGTCCGGCTCAAGTGTATGTCGGTGTACGCGTGTAAGTATGTGTGTGCGCGTGTGTGTGTGTGTGTGTCGCTTGGTAAATACGGTACGTCGAGCTCCAGCTCGTACTTCGCGCGCGCGCGAGTGTCCTACTGTTTTTGTATTTAACATATCTCATCATTAAATTTGTTCATTTTTCCACGATCACAGTAATTCCAATCGCCAACCCGAGTCACTTTGTCTTCAAGATTTCGGATCATACTTCAAGTTCGATCCATTGCACGTTTGACGTCCTTTCCCCCTCGGGTTTCCCGTCCACGTCCCGCCCTACGCATCTCTTCGGCCCTAAAACTCTTTTTCTCTTTTTTTTTTTTCTCGTCCACCCAACCATTCTCAGCGGTGCAACGTATACTTCCCTCGCCCCTTCCGTCGTCTGGAATCCTCAATTATATTCCACGATCGAAAAGAACTCTCGTCGGCTTTAGTAACCGCTGAGACACCTGAGCTTCTTCAGAGGCGGCGAAGCCTCGTTTCAGCTGGTCGGTGCCTGCATCGACATCGGAGGCGGCTTTACGGGCCCGAGGGCAGGACCGGACAGGCCGTTGTTGTTCATGTCACCCGGCGCCCTCGGTCCGCCAACCCCAATAGCCGTCCCATTCACCGTTGGCGTGCCGCCTGACATTTGACCCTGAAGTCATAAAAGATTCGCAAGACGTGAGACGACGCTCTCACGTTGCATCTTTGCGAGTCTACGAATTTGGCAACATTTAAGAAATAAATTGCATGATATCGAAAAACATCCATAATATCAAGATATATACATGATTAAATTATTAAAATGAATAAAATCTATTTAAAATTCGAGATATATATTGGCGATTTAGGTTTTTTTTTTATTATCGATTTGATTCAAGAATCTGAGAATAAGATATTAGTTCATTAAAATTATTCTATGACGTCTAATAATTAATCCAGCAAGTAATAATTAATGAAATAAAATTTATTTAGATGTTTACAACATTTAATTGACCATTACTAAATTTTTATTTATCGCATCACAGATTTATCGCCGAACTCGCTCTAATAATTTGAATTCGTTTGCAATTTTGTTCGCACTTACATTGGGCACGTGATTGTGCTGGGCTACCGGCTGCCCCAAACCTTGATGAGCTTGAAGCGGGTTGTGTCCCGGGTGCATGTTCTGGCCCGGGGGCGTCGGTGTGGGAGGAAGTTGCCTTTTGATGTATGCTAATGAGGCGGGTGACTGTAACGCCATATTAGCAAAGGCTAGCCTCTCCTCATAGTCGTACTCGCAGAGAATCTTGTTCTCGCACAAATAAAACCGATCGCCCACGCAAAACCTGCAAGCAGAAAAAGTACGCTGTGTCGACCATTCGTTCGGCATCTCGCGAGTTATTGTGCAAATTCCACTCTGCGATGCAACGATAATTACGAAGCATTAAATAGCAGACAAATTTTTAGCCAAAACTAGAACTTCATTATTGCAATTAGCGAAGGCATACATATACATTGAATATTCATCATTTGTCGATCATTAATCGTGGATAAATTCAGGTGATTTATAGCTCTCGAAAGTAGTTCAGAAATATTCTCATACAATCGCGATTAACAAACGAGGCCGTTGTGCCAAACCTCGATCGATCGAAACACCGGGGGACAAAAAGAAAGCGGAAAGGGGAAAACGAAAAAAGGAATAGTTCCGCTGGATAACGAGCATATCGTAACGCATGGAACAAATAATTATTATCGAGCCTCTGTCCGCGCGCGCGCGGCCTCGCATCCGCTTTGATCCCGGCTAGGAAATACGAGAGCGAAATACGAGAGCACGGCGCGGTGGCGTCGGGTCTGGCTCGGGGTAGATACTCTCATAATCGCACGGCAAATAGAATTATCGCGTTGCTGCGCGTGGCCGTGCTGGCAGCAAGCGCGCGGCTTATACCGGGTTTCGCTCGTTTCCCCCATTATACGCGTCGTCTGCTAAATGACGCCACACTCCAATCGGATACCTATCCTCTTTCGCTTTGCTTTCTCTCTCTCTCTCTCTCTCTCTCTCTCTCTCTCTCTCTCTCTC